TGAACACGAACAAGTACTTAGTGTGATGATTCATCGTTGGGTTTTCTGATTTTACTTAAAGCGTGTTCGTTTTTTCTATCTTTTTTTTTGTGTTTGAGAATCTAAAGTAAATTTGTAATTTCTTTTATGTTTGCTAAAGATTTGGGTTTTCTGATTTTACTTAAAGCGTCTTCGTTTTTTGTATCTTTCTTTTTTTTTGTGTTTGAGAATCTTAAGTAAATTTGTAATTTCTTTTATGTTTGCTAAAGATTTGCTGAATAATTTTAGTCTTTATTGACAAAGCAGAGTCAGTTCAGTTTCTGTGGGTTATTTCGCAATATCTTAATCCTTTGAGTGACATATAAACTATTTAAGAAAAGGGGGATATTCATAAGCTATAAGCTGATAAAAAAGCTAGATTTAACTGGATAAGATAAATGCTGTAAACTGCACTTCAATCCTATTTTCATTCTATAATTGTTTGCTTTTCAGGCAAGTTTTGTTTATCCTGCCTCAATTTCAAATTTCCGTTGTTTTTTGTTTTTCAAGAATGCTGAAGAGTAATCAAGGCTGCGTAATGCTGTACAGATTTTACGTCTTGCCAAGGAAACCGTGTTAGGAGCTTCCCACATGTTCAAGGAAACTATGCACTACATATTTTCATCCCAGGTTTTCCCGCTTATTTACTTTTTTTGAGAAATTTACATACATACTGCACAATTCCTTTGCTTTTACATATCTAACACCTGAAGTTTGATATTTTCATTTATAAAGCTATGGTATTGTGAAACTATGCATGAATTGGTGTGCTGCAGTTTTAAAAAGTTAGTAGTAGTGGTACTTTTGATGTGATATTAAAGATTAGAGTGTTATGTATATAAATATGAAAGTTTATGTGCCAGATATGTAAATAAGAATTGTGTGGTATGTGTGTAAATGACCGTTACATTTTTTGTGTACTCCATTCAATTTACTTGATATATGTGAGACCTACTTAGGTCAATGGGTTATCCATTGCATTCTTATGTGAAATAATTATTCTTATATATGTTTGTTGCATACTTATTAGATTTTTCAATCATATTCAGTTGCCTTTCTCATGTTACTTTTACTGGCAGATGTTTATAATTGTTTGGCTTTTGTTTGAAAAGTTCGAAAATAATTGCTTGATATAAGAAAGGGTTCAAGTTGACTCTTGTGAATGAAATAAATATATAAGTCACATTATGGAAATATATGAGGGTTTTGGGGTGCTAAAATGATGTTGGATATGGCTTGATTAATTTACAAGAACTAATAAGCACATAAATCTCAAATTGCTTTAATGAAGGTCATAATGGTTCAATAAAAAACTATTGAAAATCACTTAGTGGGTTAATCAAGGCTAATGTAACTAATTGAAGTTACTATATATCTTAGAGCATTTATTATGAATTTATTCACAGAATAATTAAATTAGGCTCAAATTTCCATGAGAAAACGGGTGGATTTATATTCCATGCCCCCTTTTATCTTTTGATCTTTTGATGCTGTTGTCATCAATCGTAAAACCCACTTATTGTAGTTTGTTAAGATCCGGTAGTCATGAGTGCCTTCGACATGCAGATTTTGTGTTGCCAAGAGGATCTTTAGGTAGTGGCTTGGTGTTAGTACTTTAATAGTTTTTGGCACAAGGCTATTGTTGCATGCACCTAATCTCAACTTTACCACAAAATGCAACCTTTTTCGCTTCCTCTATAAGTTTATATATTATCCTTGTTATATTTTCTATATATATTTGCAAATAGAATAGTCACACATAGTCTCATGCGTCTCATCTACATCACTAATGGCTTGAGCTCAATCAAAATCCAACTTGTGTAAAATTTGAGGTTGACTATTTCTCGCAATGTAATTATCATTGTGCATGACACAATATTTCTCTATCTCCACGTTCGTGAATCCAATGTTGACATGGCATCCTATGCATACATTTTTTTCATTGAGGGTGCATTAGTCCTTAGCTTTTACACGCTCCTCATTTTATTTCGGTAACTCTTGCTACCATTCTATCACATGATTTGCTAGGAACTACATATATATATATATATATATAAAATAGAAATAAAAAATCTTAAGCAATGCATTGATTAAAATTATCATTACCGAAAAAATTAATTAATGCCATTCCTTTCATATCTCTTGCTCCAACGTGACGTGATTGTAATTGCCAAATTGAAGTGCCCTTCTAGAATTGAAAATCAAGGTAGTTTCATTTAGCGCTATGCTAATTCAGGTATTGAGCTAAATACTCTTCATTTGAGGTTTATGGAACATATTCAAAAAGCCAATTGACTAACCCTAATATAAAAAATTTTAGGAGCCTTTGTTCATTCTAGTTTTAAATTTGGTATGTTCCGTCTTGAATTAAATATATAAATTCTGAGATGAAGAAATGAGGCGTGGAATAGGAGACGTGGTTGCGAAGCAAGTTCGTAATTGTGGAGGTGTTGGTTATGGAGAAGACAATGAACATGATGCCTTTGAGAATAAAAATATTAATAAGATGGTAACAATTAATACAACCAACATATTTAAGTGCAATAAATTTGAAGAAGAGGCCAACAAATGGTGACATCATGCTTGTTGGTAGCTGAAAGAAGGCGATTGGTGATAACAATAATGTCGTTTACCAAAGATGACAATGACAACCTTCATTATTTTACTAACAAAATGATGATGATGGTGATGTTCATATTGGGGATAATTGGTCTGGAGTAGATGCTAATATTCACTATGGAGACCTGAATGAGCAAGTAGGAGAGATTTTAGAGGTTTAATAGAGAAGTTTGTGTTGTGAGATAAGCAAAGGTAAGAACATTTTAAAGATGAGATTAAATAGGGACATTAAAATCACATATTATTTGTCAGTTGTTTGAATATTGTGGGATATTCATGAGAAAGCTAGGTTGAATTGGATTTGGGTATCTATTGGATTCTAAAAAGCTCACTTGGCGCAAGAATAATGCCATAATCGATGTTTTAATAATCAAGTTAATGGAATAAAGCATTACTCAGAAATTTCCTCACATGGAGGAATATAATCTAAGGCTTTCGTTGGGTGCAATTGTATATTATTAATTTTCACTTTAGATCATGAGAGAGAACAATCAATGAGGGAGAGTTATGAATGTTTACATCAATTTAATGATGCAATGGTTTATCGTATTAGATTGACCTCATGCAATCATATTGTAAAATTGTTGTTGCTCTCCTGTTTAGATGGAATGGATGATATATCTGTTAAGGTTGTGGATGATGCTAGACCGTATAAAGCTCCAATATTTTTGATTTATGGTGTACCCCGATTTAAATAGTGTGGTATGGGCTTGTTTGGGATCAATTTTTTTTTTAAAAACATGTTTGTTTGATTTAGATTGCCCTCTTCAACCCCAATTTTGCTCAAAGTTTTCATGAAGTTGGAGTGTTGACATACAATAGAGTAGTTGACACCAACGAGCTTAATTACGGGACCAATCATATGGAAACTTAATTTCATATGTATAAACACCTTAAGGAGTAAAAAATATTTTCTTTTGGTTGAAACTCTCATATCTCACATTAATCTGGTGGAATATATAGGTCAAGAATTATAATTTTATTGATTGTTATTAAAAGCATGTTTTAAAATGTGTGTTAAGAGTGAAGTGAAGGCATTTGTTCAGTGCAGTGCTAATTTGTGAAGTGCAATCTCACAGTAAAGTGCGCTTTTCGCTATGCCGCATTACGTGCTTGGCTCTAGCTCAAAATAATTTCTAATTCGTTTCAGCATTAATGTTTGCTTCTCCTCACCGTTTCCAATAATCATTGAGTGATTTTTCATTGTTTTTATGTTTCCTCCCATTGTAGCTAGCTAATTCTTGATGTTTTTTTCTTCATGTTCTCTAGCACTCCAGCTTTCTTATAATATCTTATTATTTCTTGTTGACAACATTAGTAGTTACTGCTCACAGAGTTCTTCCCAAGATCGTGCCTCATCTTAACACATTCTCACTTCATGCTATCGTTGCTTCTGAGTCTCTGGTTGTTCACTCAATCTTACTAGTATTCTTGATTTTTAACTATTCTTTTATCATTTCATTATTGATATTTGTTTATGTTTGCTTTCAGATAGCTTACAAATTACTATTATTGAATGTATAAGTATATTTATTGAAATTCTTACCTAATATGGCTTTCATTTCGGATATGCATGTATGCTATATATGTCATTAACACTTTCCCTTGTAAAAAGTGCTGCTTCACTTTGCACTTTGATTATTGAATAAAAAACGGAATGCATACCATTATGCAGAACAATTTGAAAAGACTAGATTGATCTTGTTAACTTAGCACTAGTTTGATGGCCTAAGTCTCAATTTTATTCCATTAGCCATGGGTGACATAAGTGGACTCAGTGGAAATTAAGACAGGTAATTGAATGGTCGGTGCAAGATTACATGATCGAGTTGAAGAAACAGGCAATTTCCATGAATATCTTGCTAAATGATTACTTCAGGTGATCGTTTACCTTTCGAAATGGGATATGGAGTCAAACTACTATTAGATTTGTCTGGGATGATACTTGGAGACAGCTGGCATTCACGCTATTGTTTAATGAAGTTCTATTGTCCTACACTAATCAATGTTTTGATCATTAATGTTAATGGTATTATGTTTTATAGCAATGATCGGTACAAACATTTGCAACATCTACAGAAGGTCCTGAGACTTTTGCATGAGGCCCTCAATTTTTGCTATATCTAAAAAAAAATTGAGATTGACCGACATAATTTCTATCAATTGAGCTTCATCAAATATGATATTAATCTTCTAAATTTAGTCAAGGATATGGACATTTTTTAGAGGAACAATACTTGATGGGGCCTTCTAGTAGTGATAAATTTTTGCAAGATCTACTTATATATACCACACAATTTCTATGTATTTACATATATAACACCTAAACTTTAATTTTTACATTTATACCACTCTACATATGCCTGAAAAGAAGTATTTCATTTTTTAAAACTTAGTAATAATGGTATTTTTTTAATGTGATATGAATGGTTTGAGTGTTAGAAATGTAAAATTCAAACTTCAGGTGTTAGATACGTAAATAAATATGAATTGTATGGTTTGTATGTAAATGCCTCTACATGATCTCACAAGTGTTGGGCACCTGTTTTAATGAGGTGAAAATGAATAAAATATCATTCGATTGTTGAAAAGGGAGATCATCGAAGCATCAATGCCTAACTTTACCGATCTGCAATGTCATTTTAAATGAGACATGTGCTTTTGCATTTGTTATGGATGCGTCCTCCTTCAAGATGGTCAAACCAGGCTATCGTTCACACTACTACTTGTAACACACATGAACTATCCTACCTATGATATAAAACTTATTTGTCTTGCAAGAGCCATTGAAGCATCAAAAACATGATTGGTTCAAATATAGATTATTTTTGCGTAGACATCATCAACCACTATTGAACTTTCGTACACGCTCCAAGTTGCAACTTACTTTACACATTAAGTAGTTGACATATTTACAACAATATAATTTGATGATCAATTTTCATAAAAACCCATAGAATAAAATGGTTGATATGTTATTTCAGTTGATTATAAGTGCCACCACAATTTATTTGTGATGATGCAAATCCTAGCAATGCGCCACTAGGAGTATAGCACTCTTGGACTCCTTTTGAATGTCCTACATAGAAACAAGTGGGCTAAAACCAATCCTCGTTAGAACCAAGCAATAGTTCTCAACGGAGTTGAAAACTACTTGGGACCGAGCTAGCTTTATTGGAGTTGGTGCAACAAAAATAGTTTATGTTTAGGCGTAACAAGCTATGTAGAAGGATTTTTGTACCTTATGGAATAACTATGTATAGCATGAGATTTTGATGAACTAATTTAGATATATGAGGCACATACATTGAGAGTAGTGGGACTTTACAATGTAGGAAAACAAATCCTAAAACATTAAAAGATGTGCCTATTGACGCACTTGGATTTGTAATGATTTGTGGAGGGATGCTTACGTTATTGAGCATTGAATTGAAAAGTGGGCTTCTACATTGTTTTGCTTGTGCCTCTCTGACCATGATTACCCATCTTTATTGATTTCTTTGAATTATCATAGATTGGTAGCATTCAACTTTTTATTTATCTTCATTGACCATTTCAACAAGATGGTTGTAACATGTGATGAGGTAAGGTAATTATTCTTTCAACATGTTCCAAAGGATTATGGATTGCCTTCCTTAATTATTTTAGCAAAGCATGTTCTTTCATTTGCTTATTGATGGACGAACAAAGGTGGTGAATTAGATGACGGTGTGAGTGTTGAGGAGTTATACAGTTCAGGACATCCAAAGACATGAGATGAAAGTTTTCTTATCCATATTTTGTGTTTAATCACATTGTGCATCAAAATTAAAATCCCTTTTTGAAGTGTGCTTGAGCTATTTGCCACATGGCTCATTTGTTCATTTAATATTAAAATGAGGGTGAGGACAATGAAGAATTAGAGTTCATTCAAGCTTAATGATTCTTGGAAAGTATCCCAAATGAAATTGACTAGAATTTAAAAAAATTGCTTGATAGATATAGAGATCTCCATGATAACGTAAAACTCCCTACGCATTACAGGAAGATTTTGTTTTGGAATAGCAAGATAGATACAAAGCTCTCCAAGACAAATTAGGATTAATTACACATTCCAAGGGGGAGATTTGGTTTTGTTGCACTTGGATAAGGATTGAAAGGAAAAGATTGAAATTCCAAGTCAATTCATTACAACCATTTCAGACATTGAAGAAGATTGGTGAATAATACTTTTTAACTATATTTGCCTCCTTACATGAATATTTATTCCTTCATCAATGCGGAGAAGCTAAAGTTGTTTGAGTCTTCATTACTGGATGAGGAGGGGAAGCATAAGATATTAATTCCTATAATTAAGGAACTCAACATTGATTTTGAAGGTTTGTTGTCGGAGGACTGCATTGTGAACATGAACACTATCATGCATGGAAGATAGAAGAATTTCTATAAAATTGCAAAGCAAACTCTAAAACAACCCAAGTTGAATTTTAAGGAAGACGAAGTACATTTAGAATTATTTTTAGAAGCGGATGAACCAATATGGGAAACCATAATCTAGGAGGATCAAGATAACCAAATCCATCTTTTTGAATAGATAGGATGCCCCTGATTGGATTCATTAGGGATTTCAACTACTATGTGCTGTTTTTATTCTTTCCTACTTTTAAAAAAATTTTGAATCAATCTCCTTCTAAAATTGATTTTCTTTATTTTAGGAATTCTTGTCCTTTATTCGAGAAGTTAGGTTTTATCATCTAATAAGTTTGACAGTTATTTGTAAGGATTTAGCTTCCTAGCTTTCATACTTTACTTCTTTTTATATTCCTTAATGAAGCGATAGATAACAAGCTTTCTCGCTCATATAAAATTCCCCCTCTTTTTTCCATGTTATTACTCTCTCGTTATCTCTATTTTATTTTTTCTGTGATTGTAGAGTGCTATTTCTAGCACTTATAAGGATAAAGAAGTTTGATCCGCAGCAAAAACACAGGAGGAGTGCATGCAGGATCGACATCATGTTTTTTAGGGTTCTAAAACAATAAACAAAAGGAGAAATTTGTCTAAGAATTTGTTAATGGACTTAAAATATAGAATTTTAGGTTTGGATAGCATAGTAAAAGTCTCTATCACCTTATTCTCGTTGTTTTTTTTCCTATATATCATTTATGCTTATGAGAATTTTTTAGTTTAAGTGGTTCAAATTATGTTTTGACTCATGATCACCTGACTCGAAGATATTTTTGTCCTTAATGGCACATCTATTTTGAGCAAGAACTTCACACTTCCATTCATAAATCTTGGTCTTTAAAGTCCATGTGACAACTAGAGACTGATACTAATGATGTGGGGTCTTGATTTAAATTACATGATCGAAGCTATTTGACTTGTGGGCAAATAATCCCTTTTCCTCCTATTAAGTGGCCATGTTTTTTTTTTTTTTTTTAGGGCATTTACATAAATACCACTCAATTCCTATATATTTACATATCTAACACCAAAATTTTATTTTTTACATTCATGCCACCCAAATCTTTTATATCACTTAAAAAATATCACTAATTTGACTTATAAAAAAAAGTAAAATGCAGATTTTCATGCATCGCTAAGGTGTTATATATGTAAAAGTTGAAGAGTTGGTGTTAGATATGTAAATACATAGGAATTTAGTGGTATGTATTTAATTCTCCCTTTCTTTTAATTTTTATAGACAACTGCTGGATCATAGATTATGCCAACTCTTCCTATCTGCGGTAAAGGATTCGATCCAGACAATCCTAGGCTTTCAGATATTTGTACGCATCTTTCTGTGGGATCTTAGGTTTTTTTTTTTTTAATTGCACAAGAGTAGAGATGCCATTCTTATAGAATTCGACGAGGCTCACTTGAGTGATCATTTCGAACTTTCAACTTCATTGGAACATGGAGCATTTCTGACACTTATCAATTGTATTAAATGAAAGAGTAAGTTAACAGCATTTTTTAACTCATCACCTAATACCATTTTTTTTTTACTTGTTCGCTAATACTCCGAGGCTTTCAGTCAGTTCAAGGCTCCTCGCTGTTAAAGAGTCTGCTATACTTTATTTTTTTTTTTACTTTGTTCGCTAATACTCCGAGGCTTTCAGTCAGTTTCAAGGCTCCTCGCTGTTAAAGAGTCTGCTATACTTGCTATTTAGACGCTCACTTTCTCTCTAAAGTTCATGCCCTTAAATTCAAAAACTGGATTTATGCTAAATTTTTCCCTTACAACACCTAGGCAAGGCTTATAGCAATCTCAATATAAATTTATGGGGCAGTTATATGGATACCACCTAATTTGTATATATTTACATATCCAACACGTAACTTCTATTTCTTCCATTTATAGCACCCAAATCCTTCATATAACATCAAACATACCACTTTTGTAACTTTTAAATTGTGAAATACACATTTCATGTTTAGATATGGTCGCATATATGTAAAAATTGAAGTTTAGGTGTTAGACATGTTAATACAGAAGAAATAAGAGGTATGCATGTAAGTCTTCGTAAATTTTATTGTGATGTGTCTCTGTGTACATTCAATACATTCCGTAACTTGATCAAATAATACTCTTAGGCTCTTTGGACCAAAAAATTTCACCCCATATAATTTAAGTTGCTCATGGGGAAATTTAATGTCAGCTTGGCTGTCTAATGTTATATAATTTTTTTTTCTCTGAGGAAAGCTAGAAATGCTTTTAAAAGCACAATATTTTAGAAATATTTTAGAGGCCTATATGCCATAGCCTCTAAACTTCCTTTGTCTTCAAGTTTTTAAATATAATTTTTTTCATCTTGTACCCTTGATTCTTCGCTAATACATAATCAATTTTGCAAAATGTTCTGATTGAAGAGCAAAATTTACTGTTCTTTGTGCAGTTCGGATACCATGTATGGCAAGGAAGCAGCTGGCTTCATATATGAAGATAATTTCATCTCTTGTACCGGACCTTTATGTTATTGATGTCGATATTGCGCTGAATGAGTTGTGCAAAGATGATGAAAAGTTTGAACAAATAATTTTAGGCAGGGAATTCCATATTAGTCTGGGGAGACCTGTTCCTATTAAAGTTCATCAAATTGACTCAATTTTGGCCATGCTTCGTCAAAGGCTGCAGTTTCAGAGAGGGTAAGGGTGTTGCACTTTTTGTTGAATAGTCCTACATGATAAAATGAGCAAGTTTTTAAAGTTTTTTTTCAGAATTATTACGAATGGATTCTTTTTGTTTTCCTTGGATTTTTCCTTTCGTTTTTTGAAGTACTATTCTTGTTTTCCCTTTAAATCATGGATAGCAGATATTGGATGGAATTCAATAAATGGGAAGTTTTTGTCAATGATGAACTTACACGATCGTTTCTTTCGTTGGAAGTTACTGGGGGAGGTTTATTGGAGGTACATATTCCAGCTTCATGTTACCATACTTTTTAACAAAGAACTCTATCTTTATTATTATTTTATGATGTTACTAATAAAGCTTGGTTGCTTATGCCATTTTATTAGAATCATCTGCTTTGGATGTTGATAATAAACTCAGTAGTGAAAAAGATCTCAAAATGGTCCTTGAGGTATTTATGGGGGACCATTGTCTCAAACTATCAAGCGCCTCCAATTTTTTATTCGACTACTTCTCAACTCTGATCCAAAATAATCTATTGATTTCTCAAATTTGATCCAAAATAATCATGTTGGGTGATTATTTTGGATCACATATTTGGAGTAAAGAAGCTAAAGTTGGCACATTTGATGGTTTGTGACTAAAATGGTCCCATACAAATAGTCCTAGAATCATTTTGACATTTTTCTCCATTTGTTATTCTTGAGAACTATGGAAGTTTATTGCTTACTCTGGTAGGTGAGTTGGTCTTGATGATTTATTGAGTCCCATGAAGGTTTACTAGATACCTCTTTTTTCCTCTTTTTTTTCTTTAAACCTGAAAATTGTTTGTTATTTTTTTTTTTAAATTTTTTGTCGATTAGCCATCTTGCAAGGCTATCTCTTGTTAATAAACACCTCTAGTTGTTTAGTTTATACTGATTTAGTTAAACCAAGTTTATGTTTTATCAGCATTAGAAGGCCACATCCACTTTTTAGTAACAATTGATCCAATAAATGCTATTATTAAGGGCAAAAAATGTGATTTTATGGAGTTATGAAAGATACTAAGGCTTACTAATGCAAGACATGTTAGGGTCTGGGATTTCAAATACAATTAAATGTTACAATGTATAAAACCACATAATCTAATTTTAGAAATTTTCAATTCTAAAAATGTTTTTTGTTGCAATTAAGAAATACAAAAAAAAAATGCAAATGATAACTTAATGATTGATTAAATCAATGAATCAATAGGAAATTAAAACCAAAAAAATAAGCTTGTTGATTGAAATTTTACGCTGCAATTGAAAGCCAATTTGTGATAAGTTTGAACAAAATAAGGAAATAGCTAGCAAAAAGAGTAGGAAAGGAATCACCAAGTAAAACAAAATTCAGGCCCTGCTTAAATTCAAGCAGATAAATTCCTCTGGAATTATGCACTCGCATTTTGTCGTTGTTTGAAGATCTCAACCTCCAAGTTGGAACTTAAAAGAGAAAAATATAAATCAGGAAATTTTATTCATCAAACAATGTTGTAGGATGGCTCATGATTAAGGTTTTCTAATGCAATTGATAGGATGCATATTATGAATGCCTGCAAATAAAATCGATTATTCACAAATAAAAAATCTCCAATTAATTCAAATGCTTCCTTTTTTAAATGTAAATGGCAATATTATAGTTAGAACCAAGCTGGTATGAAATCATGTAAAACTAGTGAACATTTGAATTTAGTTTCCTAATAACTTATCAAGTTAAACAAATGGTAGAGATAGCCTGATACGGGTTTCATCGAACTGTCCTCCTAGACTCGCCCCTGTTCTACTAAACTGTAAAATTATCAAAGTAAAAAAAAAATAAAAATAAAAAAATAAAAAAATCAAACCTCATGCTAGCACAAGGAAATTATTTTTCTTGAAATTAGATTGTAGCTATTATATTACACTTGAGAATCTTATATCTAATTTGCACTCACAATGGTCAAATTGAAGAGAATCTTTCAATTTAAAAATTACATGCATTAGAACAACTATTAAAAGATCCCCCATTCCCTAAAAATTACATGCATTAGAACAACTATTAAAAGATCTAATTAATGAAAGTTTTAATCAAATCTTAAAAGATAATAATTCCCTCAGTTTTAAATTTTAGTTCTCCAAATTGCCATCCATCACCACAGATAAAGGCCACCATGGGCATGCACAACCTATAAAGTTCCTACTACCTATATGAAAGACTTGTGCTAGTGTGACTCCCAGAACTGCACTTACTAACCGATAATCTAGCTACAGGAATCACAACTGCAAGCCACCGATAGAATGCTGAAATTCAGCATGAAATAGATTGTCAAAAACGTTGTCCTCACACCCACACCCACACACACCCACACACATACACTCATACGTGCGCGCCCACGCACATACACACATTTATTTATTTATTTTTAGAAATACTTTCCAAGGACCAATCATCTTTATCAAACCATACTGTCGGCTATTTTTCTTTCGAAAATAAGATTTTAAAATTTAAATTTAGAATTTAATATATATATAATGTAATTTTAATTTTGTGAAAATAGTATCCTTTATTTTTGAAAAATGATGAGACCGATTAGACCTCATATATCTAATAGTTTAAACAGCCGAGCACGATATCATAAATAATATATCATCTTGAAGGATGGACGTATCACTTATTTGTAGGCTTAACTATCTAAACTTAAAAGTTTATGATTCTATTTTGGTCTGCGAAATTTATAGCCGACAAATTCCCCTATCTAATACACAGATTAGATAGGGTTTAGATTAATCTGGGTTCTTAAATTTCCTATAGGAGCAAGCCCCTATACTTAATTACATCTTAGACAACCGAAGTTACCTAAGAAAACTCTCGATAATGATCAGAGGTTTCGTCTTCAAGAATTCAACGTTCAAGTTTCCACGATTGTTCATAGGAAAAGTCAAATGGGATATGTTCAAATAGAAACAGTTATTTCCAGAATCCAAAGAAGTGAAAAGTAGGAAATATCGAAGATGCTGAATAATATTCAGTGACATCTCAAACTAATCTACGGTTTGGCTTTACGTCTTTGAAAGAGAAATTATTTGATGTTTCGATCCTGCAAATTATTTAGATGTTTGGGACTTGTATTTGCACGTCATATGCAAATAGTCTGAGAAAATGTGAGGATTTATGTCGTACTAAACGACAACCTCGAAATCCTATAAAGTTTAGGACTTATGTCGTACGATATAAAATTGTAGATAGTCCTAAAAGATAATGTGAGGATTTACGTCGTGCCAAACAAACAACTTCGACGTCCTATAGGTATCTTATTTAAATCTATCGAGGTTCTAGATCAGCTCATCCTTCCGTCTTGGGAAGTTGTCCGAGAAGAGGAGAGAAAGAAGAGAGAATAAAAAAAAACCATATCTCGAATGGCCTATCCAAGGGGATTGGACAAACAAACTAGAAAGGTAGTAACTAAAGCATGAATACTGGTAAATGTATACAGTACAACAAAGAATTGCTCAACATAAGATTGTAAAAAAACTTGTATAAGAATACACTATGTATATGAACCTTAAAAATATGCTTTATTCTTATGCAATCAAATTCATCAATGAAGGATCAAAATGATTGAACTACTTGAAATAATGTATATCACTTTAATAGAGAAAATAGAAGGCTTTAATTTTATATTTGAATACCATTACATTAAAATTAGGGGATATTTGCATACATACTATCCAATTCTTATGTATTTATATATCTAACATTTAAACTTTCAATTTTTACATTCCTGCCACTTTACCAATGTTGAAATTGTATATTTCACCTTTTTTTTTTTTTTTTTAGGGGGATATTTTTTTAAAGGGTGATATCTTTTATGTGATAAGAAACATTTGGGTGGCATGAATGTAAAAGAAAATTTTCTGTGTTAGAATTGCAAATACGTAGAACTTGGGTAGTATGTGTGTAAATGCCCAAACTAAATTTATTAATTTTTTATAAGAATAAAGTGATAAAAAAAATTTGAGTAATTAAGCTAAATTACCTTGGCACCTCAAACCTCATTGTTGACCGGATATGTAATAATGAAAGCTGATGCATCAGAATAGTTGCTTACGGGAAATCCTCCTAGCACTTGCAATGGACTTCAAAACAGCTGCTATCTTCATAGTCTTGGATTTCAATACCCTCATTGTCTGCTGCACATATCATTGCTCAACTTTATGACCAGCCTTGTAAACACCAGTTCTTTCAAGAAACGACATAAGCCCTTCATTGTGCCTTGTAGAAATCTCACCAAGCTCAACTTTATGATATTCTATTATCTATATAACGATTGGAAGTTGAGCAGAATGACTGAGTGGTTAAACATTTCTTTATTCTCCCTAGAGCAACTCTTCCATTTGTGATAAGGGGATCATCAATTAGAACAATATCTTGCTTCCTTGATGTTCCAGCATTGCTAGGAGAAAGTAAAGAATACTTTCCCATCTTTGCACAATGTTGATGTAAGAGTTGCATAATGAGAGTGCTGTCCTTGTAACGAATGTATCTACGAGCCAGGTCGATCTCGATCGCATCAAGATCATGAGATTCTACCTGGGTTGGAGCTCTCGCAGTCAGTGCTCGAATAACATGGACTCATAATGATAGTGAAGACCAATCGTCCACGAAGACCGCAGCAATAATCTCGGAGACAACTTCTTCGACTCTCTCGTTCTTGTTAACGATGCAGAGAATTTCAAAGAGCATGTCGGCAGTCCGATTGGCTTTGCCAAGCTGAACACGATCCACCTATTCTCCTCTCCAGCTAACAACTTAATTATCTTTTGGAACGAGTGCAGTAAATACAACTTTACTTAGTTCTTTATATATTTGTTTACACTTATCCAGGGTCATCTTCTATACCACCCCAATCCATAGAAAGTGTGTATACCTTGCTTTCCAATCGGCGTTCCTCTATTTTCCCTTCTCAAGCTATCATCCTCATCAAGAATGGCCAAAGCACGAGCAGCAGCCTTGAACTCCAAAATTGAAATACTTTGCAACTCTGGATGAGCAATTTCATTACGATCACAAGAGCATTGACATTGTTGCAAAAGAGCACAGCAGGTCCATCCAATCAGAGAATATGTCGAGGTTGTTTTAACATGACGTGGAACTGAGTAACTAATTGAAACCATTTTTTAAGACGTCGGACTTTCTTTTGCCCCCAAACTTCTATTCCGCCTGCTGGGCATTCACAGTGTAAGTGAAAGATGAGAACAGTAAGGCCATTCAGAGGCGTTAGTTTCTTTAATTCAGCTTCCAAATCCTTGTGATCCAGCCCCAGCGCCAGTATTTGAGTGCCAAATACATCCTTCGGGAAAGTTGGAATAAACCTCACACATTCTTCAGATTCAGCTAGATATCAAACTCTATCGCTTTCTGAAGCTCTCTAAAATTTGGATTGCTGCACTTCCTGAGCTATTGATTGATGATCTCCCAAAGCACGATGCCTGTAACCAACATCAAGACAAACCCATAGCGTAGGATATGTAGGTAAGACAGACGACCTCGCCCATAAGGTCAACTGCCACAGGGAACACCTCATAAGCTTCATCGTAAATTAGTTTCAAACAGGGCACCCTTAAAACACCGATCGGGCTGAGAACAACTATTAAGCATGACGATGTCCATGGCTGCTTGAGGGGACTGCTTGAAGAAATGATGTGAAAGGGGGTTCAGAGATTTGAACCTTTTATTCCGGGCACTAGATATGCAATTCCAACTCTCCAGTGAAACCTGTAAGTTCACCGTCTGTCGATGGTGCTTGAAAACCCCTTTCAACTCAACGATGTTCCAATGGTCGGATAGATGATGCATGATCTGAACTTCACGACGGACATCTTCCACCATTTCGCGATTCATCAGCCATCTGGTGGCGATCATCTTGCAGGCGAAAGATCCGTCAATTTCTGGTGAGTGATCAAGTAGATTACGCTGAATTGCCATCGGGCGAGCTCGTGGATGAAATTGTAGGTAGAACGAACGTCATCTATCGGTTGGCAATGGCGAACGACGGGGATAGGTGAGCAGCGGATGTGGGGTGGTGCAGCGACCACGACGGAGGGAGAGGTTTGCTCGGATGAGACGAAGAAGTATCTGATCCTTGAAAGATTCTTGTGTAGAATGATCGAGCCCAACGGAAAGAAAAAAAAAACGCGGGGAAAGAAGAATTGAGCGGGAAAAATAAGAGAAAGAAAAAAATAATTGAGGTTGGCCTGGAAAGATGTTTTTTTTTTTTTTTTTTAAGAAATAAGGGGCTATTTATAGCCGGGGGAGATGTGGGTGGTAGCTTGTGTTGGAAGCCAACAAGTGAACTTGGGCTAGCTTGTAACCCAAATGGACAATTATTGGTGCCAAGGAGGAAGCTTCTTAAAGAAGCTTCAAATAACTCAACATGTGATTTTCAAGGTGTTCAAAGTGATTCAAATAATTGTTGCAATGCTCAAGTAGGTTCATCAAAGTATGTGGTTCCAAGAAAAGTCCAAATTCATTCAAAGTTTGATGAAGTCAAAGATATTTGAACTTGGCTTAGATTTGCAAATTTGAAATGGATTAACAAAATTATAAAGTGGATTTTATGGCCAAATTTGAGTGAATCTAAGTATGGAGCATCCAAAGTATGATGTGTGAATTAGAAAGAAAGAACAAAGTGGATGGGTGTGTACATTTATATAGAGATATTTAAATTTTTGTTTTAATAATATTTATTATTTAAAAATCACGGTGTAAATATTACTTGTAGTGCGTGAAATTATATAAACGTGAGTATCTTCTCTATGAAAAAAGATGTCGTTTAACGAATATATCGATGATCGGTCCTCGTATAAACGACAACCAAAGTCAAACATATTGCTCTCGGCAGAAAGTCAAACGTCGTACGCCGTGGAGTCCTATGTCTTTCAAATCCCTATGGGAACTCAACAAAAGCTTCAATATTTCGGCTTTATCGGCTTTTGCTGGACGTCGAGGATTAGAAACCATCAATGTGAAACTTCAAGGACGAAGAAATTTGCAAAGAGCGAAGAAAAAAGAGCGAAGAAATGACTTGAATTTCTAAGGGGTGTGGGTCCCAGTCTAGTCCTCTAAGAGAGTCAAAATAGGGAAAGTTTAAGACTAGATCCTAGGGTATCTAGAGAAGGGAAAAAGAAGACCTCAAAATGAGGTCAACACATACAATTTAAAAAGTCCATTGCCGAAATACACCAATGTAACTCTAAATAACCACCAATAGAATAAATTATAGCAATTTACAAACCCTGAAATTAACTTTTTTAATTGAATTTTAGCTTAAATTAAATTAAAAATAAAATCATGTTAAACCATATGAGTTAACCTAAAGCTAGGAAATAACATAAATCTTCTTTTTGGTTATCTCACTAGCATTTTCTGAATTAATAAAATAACTGATAAAATAATAAGCCAACTAAAATGAAAATTAAGATTTTCTCATATCAATTTGTGTCTGGCTTGAAAAATTTTGCCCCAAAATTTAGCATTTGATTTTCATCAAACAAATTGGGGCATATATATTTTTTTAATTTTTTAGCAAAGTAATATAGAAATCATAATAAGGCTTGTTTTTCTAATGAATAGTTATCTCTGGAATTACCCATCAACTATGGATAAAATTGCATCAACTTGAATGGTTTTAGAATAAGCTATTCAAAGTATTCGAGAAATCGATGTGAAATTTACAAGAAATTGTAAGTAAAAATAACCTTGGAAGCTCGAGCACTTTCGATTACTTTACGTGTCCATGTTAGACATGACACCTGATGAGCGTTCAAAATGCTCAATTTTATGTTAGAGCGTTTCAATAAAAGTTAGGTTCCTAGATTGGTTCGACATGACACAGCTTAATTTTGACCTGTCTCGACATGCCACAATTATGAGATAACTAGACAGTCACAAATTATGCAACAATTGATAATGATTAATGAAGGCTAATAATGGAGTTATGTTAATTGATGACTATTGCATGTTATAATGCTTTTGTTTATTATTAATATTTTTTATATTTCTTTTATTTTTATTAAGCTTTGTTTTTTTTTGTATATGCATGTGATAAGCATACTTCATTGGTAGATGCCCTTAGTAGAAAATATTATAAATTACATATTTTATATTAGGGAGATTTATATAAGTACCACATAAGTCATTTGTGTTTGCATGTATGACTTCTAGAATTTGATATTTACTTATATAACACTTTAATGACATAATTCAATCAAAATATATGCATGAAAAGGCGTGTTTCACTTTAGGAAATTAATATTCATGATATTTTTAATGTGATGTTCAAATTTTAACTTTTATGTAAGTAAATATTAAAGTTTAGATTTTAGATCTATATATACATAAGAATAGTGTGGTGTTTATTTAAATCCCTTTTTATATTAATAATTTATAAAATATAATATTATGTCCATAATATATTTTATCTTATTTGCAGTTATGTTGTATTGCCATGGCCGTGTTGTATCCATGTCATCTTATTTGTGTTTGTGCTTCAAAGAATATAATTCATAGAATTAACAGTGTACTCTTAAAGGTTGGTCTAATAAGACTTATCAAAAGATGGATTTATGTCATAATTTATTGAAATTATTAATTTGTATTCATGGATTTAATGTGTTCAAAATTTCAAATCATTCTTGGTCTAATAAGACTTATCAAAAGATGGATTTTTGTCATAATTTATTGAAATTATTAATTTGTATCCATGGATTTAATGTGTTCAAAATTTCAAATCATTCTGCCGTTTCTTGCATTTGTTTCTTTAATTTTTATGATGGAATCTTTTTTTTTTGAGTTAGATGTTCCATGTTTTTATCCTGAGCTTAAATTTCACATAACTCCTATTCACATCAGCATAATGATTAAAATTGTCATAATTAATAGCTAGTTTTTTTTATGCATACAATATTCAAATGATTGTGCAAATTTGATAAACCTAGATTCCTTATGAAGGTCAATAATATCTGCAGGAATTCTTGGTTGATATATTGAGATAATTTTAAATCAACTCATCCTAATAGACCTTATGACATAAACTGGATGCATATTGAGTTATATGCAATATTAAAATCCCACTTATATACATAGTGTTTTATCAAATAATATAACAAATATATTAAAATCCCACTGATAATGTAACGTCTGAAATAATCCGATGGATTTGACAAGGACTTGAAAATATTTAAATATTTTAATTTCCATAAATTAAATTTTGAACTAGATATTTTTTACAAAATTAATAGCACTAAACTTTTCAATATCAAATTATGTAGAACAATGAAAGGAATTACGAAAGCTAAAAGAATTAGGCCTCAGACTATTACAACAAGATAATTTCTTCTAAAATTAGTTGCTGCGTTTAAATAGCACTAGCAAGAATCACACATCTTACTTCCATTGTGGTGATTTAAACTGAAAAGGGAAAGCTTATTTTAGTGATAATAGATTAAGCTATCTTTGATTAAATACACAAAAGAATAGTGAAATAGAATATAATTTCTAGAATTAAGGCTGGATCATTAAAATTCTAAGTGCCTTTGGAGTATGATAAAAGAATATCTTGCAGACTTAAATGTAGTTTTTATCTATTTACAAGTTGGCTAACCATATTGTCACACCTTGGGTTTTGGTGGCACGCCAAATTTAGCATGGCATGAGTGAGAATATATATTTTTGGTGGGGTAGATTGAGAGATGACTATATGGTAGGGTCTATGGGAGTAGCATCCATAGCAAATAAGATATTAAAAAATAGTTTATATGGTTTTAGGATGTTTGATGAAGGGTGTATGAAGCTTTCAAGAAGGGCTAGAACAAAAGTAATATTTATTTATTTAAGTACACGCACGCACGCACACAATGAAGATCACAACTTGATTGTATAAAGTTAATGATGATGATAATGTTGTATTACACTGCATTTGTTTTGTTTTTACATCACATTTTAGAACATTCTTTATCCGAGCTTGGTTTGTGCTTTTGGCAGATTACTAGGCAGATTTGTATTGTTGATGAGATCTACAGGTTGCATGGTCTACCAGAATTTTACAAGGTTTGGATTTATATTCAACAATAATCACTTAATTATTTTTTGGGGCATTTACATACATACCAGCTAATTTCTGTCTATTTACATACATAACACCTACACTTTACTTTTTACATTTATACCACCCAAATATTTCATTTCACATGAAAACTAAAGTTAAAATACACCTCTTTATGCACAAGTAAAGTTGCTTATATGTAAAAGTTGAAGTTTTGGCGTTCGATATATAAATACTTAGGAATTAATAAATGTTATTTATGTAAATCTTCTTTATTTATTTATTTCTGAGTAGATTTTTAACTGTAAATGATGACAGAATCCAAGGCCCCATATATCACTAGTATGGGCATTAGGTGATGTAACCAACAAGCTGAAACCAGCAGCAGAAGAGCTAAACAAATTCAGTATCAGAAGAAGCTCATGTAGAAGCCATGTTTTTTCTTGCAAATTCAGCGGTATAGAATGCAGAATAGGTAAGAAGTTGTACACCATCTGTAAATTACCCGATTAATACGAATTTGTGGCAGGAGATCTGTAGCTGCTAATGTACCCACAGTTTCACTGTACTGTTCTTATGATGGCTTGTTCAGTTGTTCTTATTGTTTTGAAAATTATTTTATCTTGTTATTCATTTAAATAATATGATTTATGTTTATATATATATAATATTGAATCTTTTATTAATTATATTTAATGTTAGTAGATTGTTCATTTGTGTTTTTTTCCCCTTCTTTTTTAAAAACTGAAGGTTTTTAAAAGAAGGTTTAAAGTTTTAAAATAATACAAAAGCAATTCAATGTGAATATTGTAATAACAACATTAAAATGATAACAGACAGAACTGACTTTTTTTTTTAATCTAAACTCCATAAAATTCATTAAATATTTAATTATAATATTCTGTAAATTGTGGGATAACTAAGCAAAATAGTGATATGCTGTTACTTGCCATGTCCTTAATCAACATACCTTCGCATAAAACTGCAATGCAAAAGGCAAGTCTATGAGAGAGAGAGAGAGAGAGAGAGAGAATTGATGAGTTCTATCTCATCAGAGAAAACACATGCATCATGTGTTCAATTTGTAGCAGAAGGACACATGAATACCGTGCTTAATTTTGTCAAAGCTTCTTTACAGCCACGGTTTTGAGCTGAAGCATCATCGCTTGGTCTGCTCCTCAGGCCAAGGAGGCCTTCAAGGGTCTTCTTGATTTCTGATTTCTAACAAATTTTCCAAAAGAGTTTAAAAATATGGCCGTCTATGGCTTCAAGTAATCCATCAATTTTGGAGCCATGTAAGATCATTTTATTTTACATTTTATATGTTATAATTTTGTTTTATTTTGCTTATACTTTTTGTTCGAAATAAGATGTTGATATATTAAAAATAATATATATATATATATATATATAATATTAAACATTTTAAAATCTATCCTAAATGAATTTTAATAAAAAATTGGCTTTTTTGCACGTGAATTCAGAAGAATAGTAGGTTTCATTGTCTTAAAATTTGTTCAAATGTTTTACAAATAATTAATGCTCTAACTTGTGCGCTACAATGCAAAATAGAACGAATAAAATTAATCATTAGTTGCGTTGTTCAATAATTTTTATTACTACTGATACATTTTAAGCAAATCTGCAACATCCGACAAGAATCTCGAGACATAACATAGATATCGAAGTGGCTTTGAGTAAGAAATATTCAAATAAAGTCATACTTGCTACTACAAGGAATAACAAGTATGAGTCTATGCCTATGGAGAAATGAGAAGAATTAGATCAAATAGTAGAATGTTTTTCATACATCTTTGTCAATGCCGCCACGACATCAAATATAATTTTCTCATTTAAGATTTTGAATGCAACAGATGAGGAAAGTGACAATCTGATCAAACCTTGTATTCTCAGGCTTCTTTGTAATTCCTTGCAGTGGCAAGCATAACTTTTTTTCTGATACAACAAATCTTTCACTTGTTTCTTCCAGAATGTTAAGTTCGGCTAATTAAACTTTTCCACTTTGAATCTTGCTTCATCAGTGTTTGCTCCCACTCGAGTCAAACACCGTTCTAACGCCACTTTGTTGGGAGAAAACAAAACTCTCTCAAGGATTCCCTTCCCATAAACCACCCCACAGAATTGGTTCGCATATATTCAAGGAAAAACCTGAAATAAACTTAAGAACAGAAGCACAACAAAGCAAACCAAAAAATGACAAGAATTTAACGTGAAAAATTCAATAACAAAAAAAAAAAATCACAAAACCACACCACCAGAAAGCTTCCATTATAAAAATCAGAGTATATAGATAACACACTCAATTTCCTCTCTACACTCAAGAAAACTTACAAGACCTCACTCCAAACTGCTCCTATTCTGATCTGACGGAAGAAAAGCACTTCTTGATTACAAAAGTACTCCTCTCTGACACTAATGTATGACACCAGAAACTTGTCGAAGAACTCGAACAGAAAAACCACACTTATGCCGTTGAAATTCAGCCTTAAAACAAAAACAAATAGTACAAACAGCTCCGGACACATAGGCGACCGGACGACGTCTATGCACCAATGTCTCTGATGCGAGGGCCTAAGATGGGCGCATATGGAACCAATAGTGGGCGCATATGCACCATAAACCAGCGCATAGGCGCCGACTTCACTGGAGCGAGCAATGCCCAATATGGGTGCATATGTGCCATAGGCCAGCACATAGCTGCCGACTTCTTTGTGAGCAGCGCCCACAACCCGACGCATATGCATCGGGCCCTCGGTCTCGTGTAGGTGCTTCGGCTCCACAAACTCAGCATATATTCTATTTTAATGGATATCACTTTTGATAAAATTGATAGCTAATTCATCCAAACTCATCTTGGTGAGGGGAATTCTAAGCTTAAAGATACGTTTGATTATATTTTTTATATTGACAGCACCCAATATACTACAAATATAGGCCATACATCAATTTTACCGTCACAAGTCTATCCAAGAAGAAATAAGCTCAACCAAGATCTCCAGGAAGCCCAGGACTCGAAATCAATACAAAGTAACACTAAGCAGCCTACAACTCATTTATATTTTATTTCATTGTATGCCTTGTTTCATAAGTTCTCTGTCATATAGTCTTTCTAACCAACATCAATATCAACCCCATTTTTTTCCACAAACTATTTGAGACACTTAGAAAATAAAAATTGGAAAGATTCCATGAGAAAAGAAATGTATGCCCTAAAATAAAATCATACATAAGAGTTTTTTGAATTTCCAAAAAAAAAAAAAGAATATAATATGATGCCATTAAATTTTTCACAGTTAAATTCAAAATAGATGGGAGCCTGAAAAAGTACAATGTAAGATTTGTTGCAATATTATATGCAAAATTATATGGGGTGGCAGATGGTAATTTCTTCATTAGGAGTTGTTTGGTTGAACATTTTTTAGAAGTTTTTTTAATTTAAATATATTATAAATATAAATATTTAAAACAATAAATATTTGATTAGTTGTAAAGTAAAATTAGAAGTAAGTAAATTGAATTAAATTTTTATATTTATTTCTTGACCAAATATTTTTTACTAAGCTACTTTTTACAACAAATCATTAGCTTATGAAATATTTTTTAGGGACATAATTTGAATGACAGATAGACTGATGGGGTGGTGATAATGGAGGTCAAAAACCTAAATGAAGTCAGTTAAGTCAATATCATCATGGGTGGCATGAAGATACCAATTGTGTCAATAATATAATGGGTTGCATGAATAAATGATAACAAATGTTGACAACAACAACAACATGGACTATGGCAATGACATACAATAACCCAAATGTGACTTGGAAGGGCGAGTTACATTGCAATTTTGACAATACCTAATAAATTGTGTAACGTGTCATATTCAAAATATATCAACAGATGAATTTAAAATACCTAAAAAATGACCTCATTAAGAGGTATATAAAATCCTTAAAACTATACAATGAATTTAAAGCACCTATATTTTAAGCACGTCTGGCAAACAGGCTCTTAGTACTTCAGTTGTCACCTCCCAAAAGAGCTATTGTGAGTGGTGGGCAGCCCAGGACTTAAATACTGCTTTTCGGCCCTACACCTAGTCAATGTGGGACTATTTGTCTGTGACATTCTCCTCCACCCATTCATGTGACGCCCTCGTCACGGATCGGCTCCACCGAGGGTCTCACTGGACCATGGAGAGTCCACACACCTGACAGGCAGTAGTTGCTCTGATACCAATTGTCACGGACTAACTTTCCTCGAGTTATCCATGCGGCTTTAGCGCTCTTTCTTGGCACTAAATCAGCCTAACCTTCCTAACTAACAACTCAAAAGCACTCTCTTGAAAGTCGAATAGGAAGAAGAGTTAGAGAAGATAAAGCTTCACTAATAAAGAGAGATTACAAAGCTTGAAAGTTTGAAACCTTGGATGCCTTAGAATGAGGAAATGGACACTTATTTATAGCTTCCTCCATGGCTTTGGTCCTCCATGACTTTGGTCTTACACCTTGCCAATGTGGGACTATTCTCCATGGGAAGCTTTATAATATAATATTCTAGCTTCTAGATAGTTCTACACTATTCTTATGTACATACATATTCTAGATTCTTCTAAGTTGTTCTTTAGGCCTCCATCTTCTAGAATACTTCATCATGACATAATATTGGTGGGGCGTGGCATTCTCCCCCACTTAAGCTCGCAATGCACTCAATGCGCTTCTCCTCTTGATACTCTTTGATCTTCTCTTTGAATTGCCACAGCGTGTCTTCATGCTCCCAACTGGCCTCGCTATCAGACTATCATTTTCACATGATGAGAAACTCCTTGTAGTTTGGTACCCCTCGCCGTCTGATCACCCTGTCGGCCATTATTTCTTGAATTTCTTTGTCGAAGGAGGAGATTACTGTTGTAGGCGCTCGGTTGAAGATCCCCCTTGATGGGTTTTCCATGTCTTCCTGATAAGGCTTCAACATGCTTGCATGAAAGACAAGATGTATCTTCAGTTTTGGTGGCAAGTCGAGTTTATAAGAGACCTTTACCACTTGCTTCGTTACCTCAAAAGGGCCTTCGTATCTTCGAATCAAAACCTTATGCACCTTCCGAAATATTTTGAATTGCTGGGGTAGTAGTTTCACAAGGACTAGATCTCCCTCTATGAACTCAATATGCTTCCGTTTCTTGTCTGCCCACTTCTTCATCTTCCTCGCGGCTTTGTGTAATGCAGCTCGAGCTATTTCCCTTTGCTCATTCCAAGATTTGACAAACTTGAAGGCGGGCGGACTTTTCCCTTTGTAGTTGGTTGTAAGGGAAAGAAGAGTCATAGGTTGTTGTCCCATGATTATTTCGAAGGGACTCTTGTTAGTGGATTCATTTATTTGAAGGTTGAAAGAAAACTGAGCCACATCTAGCAACTTGGCCCAATTTTGTTGATTGGCACTCACATAGTGCCGCAGATATAGCTCTAAGAGAGCATTGACCTTCTCAGTTTGTCCATCACTCTGCGGATGAAAGCTTGTGGAAAAGTTTAGGTCTGACCCCAACATTTTGAATAACTCGGTCCAAAATCTTCCGGTGAAGCGAGGATCTCGATCGCTGATAATGCTTTGTGGTATCCCCCATAACTTTACCACATTGCATAGAAAGAGTCGTGCAGCTTCTTCGGCAGTGCAATCGGTGGGTGCAACAATGAATGTTGCATACTTGCTAAATCTATCCACAACAACTAAGATGCTCCCAAATCCGCCTGATTTTGGCAAGCTAGAAATGAAGTCCATAGAGACGCTCTCCCATGAACTTTGAGGAATAGGTAGTGGTTCTAACAACCCCCCTGGTTGTTGAAGGACAATTTTGTTTTGTTGACATACAAGACAGGTGCGAACATATTATTCTATCCCATCCTTCATCCCTGGCCAGTAGTAATTTGTTTTTAGGAGTGCAAGAGTTCGCTTCATACCTGGGTGTCCTGCCCATAAAAAGTCATGACATTCTTTGATTAGCTCCTTTCTTAAGTTGCCCCATCTTGGTGTGTAGATGCGTCGTCCTTTGATATGAAGGAGATCTTCATCCATCCATAACTTCCGGGTTTTTCCTTCATTCACTAAGGCAATAATACTTTGGGCTTGTGTGTTGGAGGCCAAAACTTCTTTTATTTTATCTATGAGGGAGCTGGAGACTTGCGACAAGCTTGCAAGTTCTGCTTTTCGGCTTAGCGCATCTGCAACTACATTAGCCTTCCCTGGCTTATAGTCCAAGACATAGTCAAATTCTACCAGAAAATCCTGTCATCTTGCTTGCTTAGGACTTAGCTTCTTCTGAGTCTGGAAGTAATTGGTGGCAATATTATCCGTCATAACTTGGAATTTGGAGCCGAGCAAGAAGTGTCTCAATACTCTGAGGCAATGTATGATGGTTGTCATCTCCTTCTCTTGAACTGTATAGCGACGTTCTGTCTCGTTAAGTTTTCTGCTTTCGTAGGCAATTGGGTGTCCATCTTGCATGAGTACCCCTCCAATAGCAAAGTCTGAAGCATCGGTATGTACTTCGTATACCTTGGTATGATCAGGAAGGCTGAGTATGAGTTCTTCACTATTGCCTTTTTGAGGTCTTCAAAAGCTTCATTACACACACTACTCTATTCCCATGACTTGGTCTTCTTGAGTAAGTCTGTCAACGGAGCAGCT